GTAAAACCGGAAAGGAACAGGGACAGGGTTGTGTAGATCTGACTATGGATTGTTGTGAGAATTTTGGCATCATAAGGAGTAACTGAAACGGAGAACATTTTTGAATGTGTGCTCATTCTGTTCCGGGCACTGCTCTGAGCACTTTGTATCACTTACCATTTCATGTAATCTCCACAATGACCTTATGAGGTAGAAAATGCTGTTATTCCCGTGCTACACATGAAAGAAAGAGAAGAGAGGTTTAGAGATGCTAAAATGAGACCAGGATTTGAACCCAGGACCATCTGACCCCAGAGCCCTCACTGGGCACCACCATAATTGAGGATGCAGATGAAGCATTTAGCACAGTGCTAGCTTTTCAGTCAGTGCTCATTAAATGTCATGATCACTGTGGCAAGTATTAAGATGACCTTTTAAGAGCCTTCTGTCTCCCCACCCTTATCCACAGCCGCTCAAGCCTCAATGCCAAGCCCCATGACTGCCTTGACCTGAACTGCGACAGCCGGGACTTCGTGGCTGCCATTATCAGTATCCCTACCCCTCCTGCCAACACCCCAGATGAGAGCCAGCCTTCCTCCCCTGGTGATGGCGGTGGGGCCAGCAGCACCCTCAGGAACTCCAGCCTGGGTACCCCTTGCCTCCTCCCGGAGACTGTCAAGATCTCTTCCCTGTGAGCAGTGGGCCCGCCCATCCAGAGGGCCCTCTCGATTCTTGGGGACTCCTTTCCAAAGCCATATTTTGGGGAGGTGGGGAGGGGCATGCCTGGGGACCCCTTCTGCCCCCCACTGAGAACTATGCAATGGAGTTTCATGGAATGGCTCATCTGGTGGGGAAGTGGCCAGGGAAGGGGGCAACTTTCCCCACCCCAGACAGCTGTTCCAGTGGGCACTGAGGTGCTGGGCTTCCTCAGGCCCCCGGCCTCCTTGCCCCAGCACACTGGGACTGGCCTCTGTCTCCTAGCTGGCCTCCTGCATGCTCCTCTTCTTGTGTCCCAGGCTCCCACCTGACTTCTGAGCTCTGGCCTGATGAGAAGAGGTGAGACCCCCTCTTCTCTCTGGCTGGGCTGTGGAGGTTTGGGGGTTCAGAGAAGAGAACCTTCACCTCTGTTCTGGCCTCTAGGGGAGGTCCCCACCCTCCACCAAGCCCAACAATTCCCCGATTCTGAAGCTTGGAATGCAACCACAGGCTTCATGGGCTGTGGCCTCAGCAGTGACCTGCCACCCCCTGCCCTCGCCTTGGCTCAGGGGTCAGGCTGCCTCTCCCAATACACACAGATAGCACAAATGCCATTCCCCTTTCCTGGCTGCTGGAAATGGGTCCCTGCAACCCCGTCCTCCGCTGGGCCCCCAGCAATCTCTAGCAATAGCAGTTGCTGCCGTGACATTATGCAAAGCCTCTGCCCAGTTTGCTGCAGCGTTTACATCTGCCCTAATCAGAGGGGCCACCTCTAAGTACTCCTCCTCTCTTCTCTGGTTTGTTTCCTTCCTGGGTTGGGCTGGAGCCTGGACTGGCTGAGATAAGAGCCTAGCAGCCAGTGAGAGCTGGGCTGTGTTTGGAGATCATAGGCTGATTCCATGTTCTTGGGCAGAAGTCCAGAAGCGTCAGGGGCTGAGGCCTGGGTTGTTCCTGAACTCTGGGAGTTGTAGGAGGCAGGAGGAACTTCTTGATTTCCTCCTCCTCCTCCCCCACAACGCCTTTTCACATATTCCTCTCTCTTTTCCCTCTTGGGTCACCTTCCGGAACTCTGTGTCTGCTCTTGGGCTGAAATCTGGCATCATCTCAGGTTCCCTGTCCCCAGCACTGTCCCTGTGGAGCTGGTGGCTGACAAAGATGTAGTTTCCATCAGTCAATAAAACCTGAGAGGAGAGACGAGGATGAGCACCTCCTGGCTCTGTGGGTTCGGAGGCTGGGTTGGGCTGGGGGGTTGAAAGTACTCTGGTTTCAATTCCTTTCAACTAGAAGGACTGGTGTGGGCACAGGTATGGGAGGTCAGTGGTTGGTGACACGTTGTGGAAAATGGGGATCTAGGAGAAATTAAAGACAGTGGCTTGAAGAGTTGAATCTACATCCAGCAAGGCAGGCCAGGATGTCTTGAGACATGCCCCTAGGACATCATCTGCTCCAGCTTTCTTACTCACAGATGGGGAAACTGAGACCCAGAGCAGCACATGCTAGGTTAGAGGAGACTTAAACCCAGACTTCCCAACAGCAAACGGCTCTGAATTGAACCCTAATTGAAAGCATCTCTTGGGAGCACCTGGCTGGCTCAGCCAGTAGAACATGAGTCTCTTTATCTTGGGGTCGTGGGTTCGAGCCCCACATTGGGCCTAGAGCCTACTTAATAAAAGGAAAAAGAACTCAAGAGTGAAAAAGAAAAAGAAGTAAAAAGTATTTCTCAGTTTGGTAAGTTTCCCTTCCTTGTGGACATCCCCTACATTCTGGGCTACTGGGTACACTAGACTAGTGTGTGACTGAGCTCTGTGGAGCACTAAGACAGACCTCGCATTTGGTTTAACCTGGGTTCCAATCCTTAAAACTTAAAACTTCTCTTGCCTCAGATTGCTAATCTATGAAATAATAATTACCAAATATAATACATGTATAATAACATAATACAGTAATTCACCAAATATTTAAAATTTTTTTCATGTTTTATTTATTTTTGAGAGGGAGACAGACAGAGTACCAGTGGGGGAAGGGCAGAGAGAGAGGGAGACATAGAATCCAAACCAGGCTCCAGGCTCTGAGCTGTCAGCACAGAGCCCAACGTGAGGCTCGAACTCGGGAACCACGAGATCATGATCTGAGCCAAAGTCGGATGCTTAACGGACTGAGCCACCCAGGTGCCCCCACTAAATATTTATTAACTGCATATCACATGCTAGCCCTAGTGACACAAAGATGGGTAAAGAAGACATTGTCTCTGATCTCCCGAGGTGAGCATGGAAGGCAGATAGTTAAGCAATTACAATGTAGTGTTGTAGGACTAAAATCGATGGGATTGCAGAAGCATGCAGATGGCAGGAGGACCTAAGCCGGCCAACACCCAAAGAATGAGGTGGAGTTGGCCAGGCAAAAGGATAAAAAGGTTTCAGGCATTGTACAGCATGTACAATGACCTAGAGGTTAGAGAGCAAGCCCAAGGCCCTTGGGGAACTTAAATGAGTTCAGTACAGCTGGGGAGGAGAGTGTGAGGTTGTGATGAGAGCAAGAGATCACTCCAGCTCACAAAAAGCCTTTGAAGTTATGATACAGATTGTGGACTTCATCCTAAGGATAATGGAGACCTCTGCAGGTTTTTAAATAGGAAAGTTGTCATGAGGTTTGCATTTCAGAAGGATGGTTCTGGCTGTGGAGAGTGGATTCTAAAGAAACAGTCCTGGTGGGAGGAAGAGCGGTGAGGAGGCTTTTGCAGTATTGGTAGGTGATGGTGGCTTGGACCACGTAGTGGTGGTAACAGTTGGAGAGTCAAGAGATTTGAGAGGTAGAGTTGGCAAGACTTGGGATTGACAGGCATGTGGGAGTTGAGGAAAAGGGAGCAGGCAGGGTTGACTCAAAAGTTCTGGCTTGGGCAAAGGCTGAATGGGGGCACCATTCCCTGTCAAAAGGAACATCAAAGTTGTTCACACACAGTGCCAGGCACATAGTAAGTACTTGGTGAAGATTAGCTACAATGATTATCCTAAGTTCATGTTTAGGTGTGTAGTGCTAGACAAATATCCAGTAGGAAATGGGATATACAGGTCACGTGAGAGGTTCAGGAGAAGATTCAATGTGATAACATGCACAGGCATTTGGCACAGTGCCCTGAACACAATAAGCCTAGTAAACGTGAGTCCTCTCCCATTAAGTCTCCAGAGCAGAAAACACAACACTCTTTTTGTAGTCATTTCTTCAGGAGTATTTCTGAATATTATTCCTGAAGGAAGAACTGAACCAAGGTTGGCATCTGAAGGAAGAAGGTTAGGTGGCACTCAGAAGAGATTTCTGATCATCTCTCTTTCAGTCAACATGTTGTACAGCTTGACTCCTGAGACTGGCAGCAAGCCATCACCTCTCGCAACAACTTCTCGGCTCATAAGCTTATCTGAACCCCATAACTGCTCCCTGAGGTAGTCTGGGCAGGCATTATCATTCCCGTTTTGCATGGGTAATCTCAAATTTGAGACAATGACTTGTTCAAAGTCATACAGTTGGTAACAGTCCATGGAGGGCTGGAACTGATGTCTTCCTGACTCCAAAGCCTGGGATCATTTTCGTTGCACTGCCATTCAGACTAATTTATTGAGCACTTAACTCTGTGCCAAGCACAGCACTAGGCCCTTTACAAGCATTAATCTTTGATCCTTAAATTGGAATTATCATTGCCATGTTACAGAGAAGTAGAAATTGCAGATGGGGGCCCTGGCTGGCTCAGTGGGAAGAGCATGCGACTCGATCTCGAGGGTTCTGAGTTTGAGCTCCATCTTGGGTACAGAGACTACTAAAAAAATAAATAATTTTTTGAATTGCGGATGGGGTGGATGTTAAATGACTTGTCAGGGATCACTCAGACAGGAGGAGCAGAGCTACGATTAGCCTGTAGATCTCCAGCCGCTCTTTACCAGGAATTTTACCAACCCCATTGCGGGACGCTGGCTGGTGGACAGTGCTGGTTCCTAAACTTTTGCTCAATCCAGGTAAACTCAGTTTGGGGGGGAGCGGTGTACGGTGGGAAGGTTGTGCCGCGTTTGCGCACTAGCCACCGAGGCGGGGAGGTCAACTCGAGGGCGGGAGCGCAGTGGTGCCAAAGAGGGCGTGTTTGCCTCCCAAATACCCAAGGTCCCCACGATGCAGGTCTGTCCCGGGGTTGGCCAATCCGACGTTAGTGACGGCTTCTCTTAACCAATTACCGCAGAACTGGGCCTGTTGCCAGGGTGAAGCGGAGCCCGCCTCTCGGCAGGACAGGGATTTGCAGGTGGGTGGGACCGGAACTGACGCTTCAGGGGATTGCTATGCTCTGGGAGTGTTGATATTTTCCAGTCAGTCCGGCTGACTGCGGCCAGGTTGGAAGCCTGGCAGGGAGTCGTTTTCAAATTGTCGCGCCTGGGGCCGGCCGCACTGTGCTGTCATAGTACCCCCGCCTGTGAGTCAGAGCCTCAGGGAGAGAAGAGCGCGACAGGACGTTCGAGAGAAGAAAGGCAAGGAACGAGAGTGCAGACTTTGACTGAAATCTGAGACGGAGGGCACGGGAGGGCGATCGCTAGCTTCTGATTGGCCCGTGGGCATCATCGTAGACCCACGCAACTGCCTCGATTGGTTGGTGTCTGCAATTGTTTTGGCGGCGGCGAAGATTTTGCCCACGTACTTCCGAACGAGAGGCGGGACTGTGCCCTGGCGCGCGTGCGCAGCGCCCCGGGGCCCCACCCGGTAGTTCAAGAACCTGCGAGGGGGCGGGGCGAAGAGGTGCTTGTTTTGGTTCTGTTTCCTTTGAAGCGGCAGGCCGGAACGAGCGAGCATAGCAGTAAACTTGTTGGACTTGGAGAAAAGGCTACGACAAACTCGCCGCGGTGCCATCATCTAGGACTTCACATCCGGGTTCTCCTGCCCCGTGACCTGCGCGCCACCGACGGTTCTCGAACCGGTGCCTCAATCTCTTTATCCGGGTCCCGCCGATCCCGTCGTGCTTCGCGCACCACAGTAGCCCCCTCATCCGGGTTCTATCCCAGCGTGCCTCGCGCCGGGTTTGCTGGGGGGTACTCGGCGGTGCCGCCATGACTATTCTCCCCAAAAAGAAGCCGCCGCCTCCCGACGCCGACCCCGCCAACGAACCGCCGCCGCCCGGGCCGCTGCCCCCGGCGCCGCGTCGCGGCGGGGGTGTGGGCGTGGGCGGCGGCGGCACGGGTGTGGGCGGTGGCGACCGCGACCGTGACTCGGGAGTCGTGGGGCCCCGTTCCCGGGCCTCACCACCGCCTCAGGGCCCGCTCCCGGGGCCGCCGGGAGCGCTTCACCGCTGGGCGCTGGCCGTGCCGCCTGGCGCCGTGGCGGGTCCGCGACCACAGCAGGCCTCTCCTCCTCCTTGCGGGGGCCCTGTCGGTCCCGGCGGCGGTCCCGGCGACGCGCTGGGCTCAGCGGCGGCGGGTGTGGGCGCGGCGGGCGTGGTGGTGGGCGTGGGCGGAACCGTAGGCGTGGGAGGTTGCTGCTCCGGGCCGGGCCACAGCAAGCGGCGACGTCAAGCCCCCGGGGTCGGAGCGGTTGGCGGGGGCAGTCCGGAGCGTGAGGAGGTCGGCGCGGGTTACAACAGTGAGGACGAATACGAAGCGGCTGCAGCTCGCATCGAGGCTATGGACCCCGCAACCGTTGAGCAGGTATGGCTGGGGGTGATAGGTGAGTGGATGTGGTGGGTGGGATCCCCAGACTGGATAGGGACCCAAGGAAGGCTTTTTGAGGTCCCCCCAAGGGACCTACGTCTTCTCCCGGGGCCTGGCATTCATTCTTCTCTGGTGGTAGGGGCCTAGGACACCCTCTTCCCTGCCCCCCCACCAAGGACTTGAGGGTTAGAAGCCCCAGATAAGATGGCAGACTTAACGATGGAGTCCGTGGTCTCTTCTCGGACCCATAGCCATTATTCTGGGCCCTGAGACGTCCTCGTGTAGGGCCAGTAGGTAGGAATGCCACCTGAGAGGGGAGTCTCATGACTCCAGGGGACCTTGGTTTGTGTTCTGTGTCTTGAGATTTTCTTTCCTCTTGGAATAGGGTCTGAGATTTCTCCTCAGGGGAACACAAATAGGATGGAAACCTTATACATTTTTGAGTGTCCCCAAGATATCTAAACCATTTTCGGGAGTTTGAGACAGTACATACAGGACAACCCCTCCCTTTACTTTTCAGGGGGAACAAAACACAGGACCATTCCAATGGATTCCAGCGACTTCCTTAAAGGTTCTAAGCCTTTTTTTCAAGGGCCTAAGATTCCGTCTCCTAGAATCAAGTATCTGACACACACAGATACATTCCCTTTAGAGAAGGGGATCTTCTAGCTTTTCTTCAGGGAAATAAAACGACTTTCATGGAGACAAGATTCCCTTCCCCTTGGGGACAAGCGCCAAAACTAACACTCATGGACCAGAAACTACTAAGGTACATGAGATTGATCCCTTTTCCAGGTGACAAGAGTCTGTGCTTCCTTTCAGTGGTCTGAGACCTCTTTGGGGACAAGAGTCTGAATTTCTCTCTAGGAGCTTAAGCTTTTTTTAAGTGATAGACCTTCAGTTCTTCTCTTCCCCCACCTCCCCAGCCTGAGCCTTTCTTCAAGAAAATAAGCCTCACTGTTTTGGGTACTTGAGCCTAAGATCCTCCTGCTTATGAACTGGGGCTTACAGAGACTGGGTCTGAAGCCTCTTCAGGAGATGGATTACCCCCCATCCACAGAAGTCCTTTCTCCTCAGGGATTGGTGTATGAGTATTCTTGGGGGTCTGAGACACCCCCCCCCCACACACACACACAAATACAGGGATATGAGGTTCTTCTACCCTAATTATGAAAGACTGAAACATACTTTGGGTCCAAAAACGCCCCTTCTCCCCCTGAAACATGGATCTGAGCACCCCCTGCTCCAAGGGCCTGAGCTGTTTGTAAGGGATATAAGATCCCTGCTTTGGGAACTGTAGCCTGATACCAGTCTTCAGGGGACATGAGCAGCATGGAGTCCTAGAGATGGACCTGAGGTCTTCCCATGGATCAAGGGCCTGAGACTCATTGAGCCAAGGACACTTGAGCTTGTCCTCAAGGACAAGAGACCCATGAATACCCCAGTGACTGGTGTGTCTCTAGAAATGTGGTCTGGGCTTCTCTCTTCAAGGAATTTAAGGATCTCTTCAGGAACAGGAGGACTCCTTCTACCTTAGGACTTGGAATTGAGCCCCAAGACCCTTTTCTTAGGGGCGTGGATAGGGAGTCCCTGGAAAATAGGGTCCCGAGTCTCCCTCTAACAGTTTAAACTTTCTTTCAGGTGCGTGAGACACCTTACCCACCTTAGGACCTGAGACCTGAGTCTGTCCTGAAAGTACCAATTGTCACCTCACTTTAGATAGCATAGGTATACCCGTTAAAGGGGCCTTTGAGGGATTTTTTTGCTTTGGGGACTTGGGCTTCAGGCCATTTATGAACTAAATTCCAAGAACTTTCTACTCCCCTTGGGGACATGGATAGGACAGGATTCTGAGGAAGAGGCTGAGCCTCTTCCTAGGGGCCTAAGATTCTCCTTAGGGACAAGAGATCATTTATCTTAAGGAGAGACCTGAGTCCCCCTTGGGTATGAGGCGCTCTCCCCCTCCCCATAACCAGGCAATCCTTTCTTACCAGGGAGAGGGACATGAGGTCCTCTCCAGTGTGGGCTGAGGCCTCTGCCATTGAACATAAGGACCTGGGTGCTATATAGTCCTAAGAACCCCTTACCTGAACTCTCACAGGCCAAGAAGATCTTCCTACTTTCTATGAGAAGGTTGCCAGGTACTGGGGACTTGGGGCTGAGGCCTCCCCTCAAGAACTAGGAGATAACTCTGAGTCTCTCCCTGACCCAGCTCTGTTTGCTTCTCATTTCCAGGATTGGAAATATCCTGAGCTTTCTGAATTGCTTTCAACAAGCTTTTTTCTTCCTGGAGACATTCCCACTCCAGGGAAATTCTCTACCCATATTCCTATTCCCCTTGATTCAGATAAATCTTTCTGCACTTCACAGGGGCCAGGGCCTTGTCTTGAGCCCCCTGTCCTTGATACTTTTCTACCCTTTACTCCTACAGGTAGAATAAATTGTCTGAGTCTACAGGGTCAGGGCCAGGAATTGTTCCTCTCCCTGATTGTAGTAGGCTGCCTTTCCTCCACAGAACTAGAGAATGCTACATCCCTGGTCCCAGGGACATAAAGGAAGAAAGTTGCGTGCTGACATGGTGACTAGAAAGACATCTCCTTACACCCCCTTTGCATCTTCTAGGCTGGGAGTCCCTCCCCCATACTTGTTCCCATAAGAATATGTGTGGAAGTAAAACTCTGTGGTTGCATGATGCCTTCCCAATGACGGGGGGAAGGCTTTTCCTGTCTTCACACTTCTTGGGACAAAAGGAGAATAAGATGCTTCTCCCTGCCTCACCTGGTCCAACTTGGGGCTTTCTGGGGATGAGAAGAGTGGAGATTCTTCCTGCGGTTCCAGTCTTTGTCCTGAACTATCACCTGGGGGCATTTATAGCTTTTGAGGCCCATTAGATCCCGTGGAAAAGAGAGAAGATGGTGAGAGGAAACCCAGATGGTGGATCCTTCTTCCGACTTCTCAGACTTCCTGTCTGTTTGGATGCTGTGACTACCTCCGCTGATTTTAGGAGCCCTTTTGGCACCCTGGGGTCCTGGTGCTAGAGAGGGGGTGATGTTGGGGGTTTCTTTTCCAGGCATGGCTGCCTTACCGAGTCTACACTGTGAAAAGAGCTTGAGGACCCCTCAGAGCATTTAAGAATGGGGTGTGCAATGCAGAGGTGGTCAGAGGTACTGGACCTGGCACTGTAGCCAGAGTACCTGGGTTCCTACTCTGACTCTGCTGGAGCTTTGCTGGATGAACCAGAATAGTTAGGTCTGTGTTCTCTGGGTCTCAGTTTCTTCATGGGTCAGGTAAGGAGCTGGTGAAGGGTCGTTTAGCTTTGGGATTTTAGGGAACTCATACCGAAGCCCTCAGGACCTAGAGGTGACAGAGAATGGTGAGTGTCTTTTGAGGAAAAACTGGGTTCCTCTTCCTCTTTCCCTTGCCCAAGCTTGGTGGGCAGGACAAGTGTCTGTTCAGTGTGAGGTTTGGGGTTGGCAGGCAGTGATGTTTTATGTCCAGCTGTGTTATGGTGAATAGGCTTGGGGGTTGCCCGTCAAGGGGCCTATTGGATGGTGTAGAGGTAGGTTTGTGTGTGGAAAAATTGGGGGCTTTGGAGCTGGGCAGGCCTGAGTTCAAACCTTAGGGTCTCCTACTTGGCTGTTTTATGGCTTCAGGCAAACTCTCAGCTTCCTTCCCCCCACCCCCAAGAGTCCACCCATGCCTGGGGTTATTGGGTGTAGGAGTGCCTGTCCACCTCGGAGCTTGGCTGATTTCTTCTCTTGCAGTTTCCCCAGGACAATCTAGGTTCTCCCTGGGAGGCTTTGTTAACAATCGAGCTTTGTTAGCAAAGACCCTTTGGCATCCAAGAACCGGTGGATTCCTTTGGCGGGGAGACAGAATATTATAGCAGGAAGTGGTCCCTGCCTGGGCTTTCTGGGTTTGAGTTCTGTATCTTCAGGCGGTTCCCTTTTCTGGGCCTCAGTTTCTCCAGCCTTGAAATGGGTAATAATGAGGAGGGAGGTTGGACTCATTTCTGAGAAGCTGGTTGTAATCTCTTAATTCCCTGCTCCCCACTCCCCCTCCCCATTTTGAAAGTTTTGGGTAAGGCCCCTTGGCTTATGGGGGTGTGTTACGAAGTCTCATACAATGTTTGGCTTCCTTCTCCTCTGCCATTGTTGTCAGCCCTTGGGTTTGTTTAATTTTAACGGCTTTATGGAGATAATTCACACAACATAGAATTCACCAATTTAAAGTGTACAATTCAGTAGCTTTTAGTGTATTCAGAGTTGTGCACCCATCACCACGATCGATCAATTTTAGAACATTTTCATCACTTGCAAATGAAACTTTGCACCATCCCCATCTCCCAATCCCCCATTGCCTCCCAGCCCCAGCAACTACTAATCTACTTTTCATTTTGATTGATTCTTCTATTCTGAACAGTTCCTACAAATGGAATCCTACAATGTGAAATTCTTTGTATCTGGGTTTTTTCTCTTAGCATATTAGTTGTAGTGTTGTAGTATGCAGCGTGTTGTAGTATGCAGCAATACTTCATTTCTTTTTGTTGAAGAATGATAGAATCTTCATTTTTTTAACCCAGCCCCTCTCCCCTTGCCCCCTCAGTGGCCCAGCAGTAGGTTTGGGGCCTTGCTCCTTTCCCATTCCTTCACCCTGGAGAGCTTGTGTTGCTCCTTAGAGAGCAGTGCGCCTCTGTTTTTCATTGGATGGGTTGCCTGTGTTTTGCCCATGGAGTTGAGCCAGTGTTCCTGGGTGATTTGGGGGGAGAGAAGGGTGGTCTTGGCATCAGACTTGCTGGGACAGAGCTGTGAAGGCCAGAATACTAAACACCTCTTGGCCACGGGCTCTGGGAAGACATCTGCTCAAGAGCTGCCATTGCTGCTGCCATCTTCCCCTGCCCCCTCTGTCTTCAGTGGCAGCTCATTCATTGATAGGCAGGGTCAGTAGCTTCCCAGACTGGGAGGGGGAGTTCCAAGCCCCTGCTGCCTTCATTCTAA